GTAAATACGGTTCTGCTTAGACAAAGGGGGCTTTTTAATGAAGACTCTTTCATGTAACAGTGGATATGTTCAGGTGTCTGCGAATAATGTCATGTGATTTGTAGTGGTAAGACAGATTCAGGCATAAAACAAGAAAACTGAAATCTAACGACTGTAAATGTATGTCTTTATTAAAAGAATAAAAACCTTAAGGATCAGAGTACATGCGTGATTAGCAACCACTCGACCAGAAATCTCACAGAAATCCCTGTTGATGTTTCAGAAAAACTGCACCTTTCCTTTAAAGGGGTTTTTGATATTTGGCTTTATATTTAAAACAGATTTGTTTGATGAAATGATCTAAACTATATAGTGGTGCTTCTTTTCACAAGGTAAGTCTGTGGGACTGTTGACTCATTAAAAACAATGCCCTCCCTGTGTGGCTGGTGCCTTATTCCCATTAGTTCTCAATTCCTGTAGCATCCCGTAGCTGTTGACTTTTAATAAAAGGACACTTACCTGTCCAGAGGTCCGTCCAGCACCGTCCTCACCCAGGCTAGTTCTTTGCTAGCCTTCGGGTTCCCGGTTCCGGCACCCCAACTGTGGGCTGCTAGCTATGCTGCTTTTGGATTCACAGCCGGCTGCCCACTGCACATGTGTGAGGCGCGCTGTGCTTTGTGAATGGTCCCACAGTCCTCTGGGACCTGTGATGTGTCCCAGAAGCATGCAGGGAGGATCGCTTAGAATCACTTCCCCAAAACTAGGTACCTGCTCCCCCCCCCCCCCCCCCCCAAAAAAAAATATGGTATGCATGGTAGAGGAAGGGGTTGGAGAACAGTTCCTCTTTGCTACCATTCCAGAGTCACAATGCCTCCAGATAACTCACCAAGTGGCAAGAGTTATTCCCTCTTCTGCACTCCCTTGCCCCCTCTCAACTCTGTTGCCCTTTTGGAGCATGGCTTCTGGGAGAGGCTAAACCTGTGAACACTCTCATGTCCCAATGCAGGAAGGAACATGGACAGTAGTGGCAAATCTACCCTACCTCTAAAAATCTCTACATTTACTACAATTACAAAAAGATATTGAGGTAAGCATATAAAATGTGAAAATTATAAAAGATTGCTACTAAACCCACACAGTAAATCAGTCTGTATATGCAGTAAAGCATGCTCGTTATACTCACTGTAGAACCTAAGGGGTTAATCCTCTCCTTTGTGTAAAAAGGCTGCTTTGATCCTGTCTTTGCTTACCCTCCCCTTTTCTTTGCTGTCCCCAATACATCTGCCTTAGTTAAAGTAGCAGTGCCAAGTCTGCACATGCTCTGTTTGGTGTGTATTGCTAGATAGTGTTTTTTTTTTTTTTGTTTTGTTTTGTTTTTTGGGGAGGGTGCAGGTCTAATTAGCACTGTCCAGACAGAGGGTCAGGAGTCATGCAGCCTCATAGGACAGTCAGAGGAGAATGAAAACTCCTACAAAGTTAACCAGTGCTTGGCCGGACACAGCTAGAAGTCACAAGACTGCTCTAACTTCTGATGAGAAAAGGTATTTAGCAGTTCATATTTACTACAATATTTTCATTTCCATGTACTGTGGAACGACAGATATAGTGAATGTAGGGTCCTGGGTTTAGTAACACTTTAAAGCTGAACTCCGGGCAGGTTTAGAAAACACCAATTTATCGTGTATATAAAAACATTTAAAGAATATGTAAACCCAACATTTCGTATTTCTGAGATATGCCTGCTGTACCATGTAAAAAAGTATTCTGTTCTCTTTGTGTTGTTTCTTTTATGTGAAATAGCTGGTGGTGTTCCTGCCAGTTCTTCTGCTTTCCTATTACAAACTGACCACACTGGGCATTAGATCACAGCTTGATCAGTTCTCTAGCTGTGCCGGGAACTCAGTGTGCTCTCCTCCAATGATCATACTTCTGCTGACACCCCCTTCCTGCACAGCCATTCAGTGTGCTGCTGTTTCTCCTCCCCTAACTCATATTCAGCTGAGAACAGAGGGTATGTGATCACTTCTAAAAGGAAAGGGAAAAAAATATATGTAATGGTTTTTTTCTATATCAATACACAAATGTTTTTCCTTTCATTTCTGTTTTTAACTAAATGGGTTGCTTTACAAGGTGAGGGTTTATAATCACTTTAATTGTATGTTTATACCCATCCAGTGTAAATGCCTGAATTTAGGTTTGATCCCCTATATATAGAACACATGAAGCAGTTGGCTCTAGCATTACATTTCTGCTTTGACTTTTTGCTAGAAGACTTCTGTCTCATGTTTGTTCACATGAATAAAAAGTATCTGATCTATGGTCTTGGAGGGACAACCTCTTTTCGGACCAGCTCTTGACAACATCATCAAGAATGCTGGTGGCATAAGCACCCATCTTCCTTTAGCAGAAGATACCTAAGAAACAAACTTCAAAGTTTTCTCCATCCCTTTAATTTCTTCTTTCGTATGATCATCATGCATAAGCCCCATATGCTTGGATACTTGCCAACCCACATAGTCTAGCAATCATTCTGCCAAATTCTCTAATGAACCTTCCTCTGTATGAAGGTGCACCCCCACTTTCCAGAGTGGGGACATTTGTAACCTTTTTGCACGGTTGAACAGTTTACATCTCAGATGCTTGGGTGTAAGATGGTATTCCAGGGCTACAGATGAAGCTTTGTTCCCTGCCCCTTTTCCCAGTTTTTTTTCACTTCCAAGCTTCCCGTGTCACTGCACAGGTTAGCAGATCTCCATCAAACCCTCTTGGTTCTCTGGATCATGATGTCATTGCCCCACTCTCTCTGGCAGAAAGGTTTCATGGATTTTACTCCAACCAGTTTACCATTCCAAAGGGTGTATTCACCCTGGTCTGGCTCTCAAAGCTCTGTATGTCTTAATTTGATTACAATAATGCTACATGGATTCTACCAAATCTATCATTGCCTCCCTTCATCAGGTCTCCCATGTAGCTTCCCTGTCCATTCCCCTGTGACACTGTGGGATCTAAATATGATTTTTTTTCTACACTTCAGAAACAACTGATGAACCCATTAAAGACATTTCTCTTTTTACTCTCCTCTACAAGATTGTTTTTTGTAGCCCCACCTCTGCTGGGCAAGCACCCGAGCTGGCAGCCTCATCCCACAAGGAACCCTTTCTGGTTCTGCAGATGGACAAGATGGTGTTGAGACACAGGACTACCTCATTGACCAAAGTAGTAGAGTTGCACCTCAACCAGGACATTGTTCTTTCATCCCTTTTGTCTAGCTCCTGTTCGTTGAAATTTTCTTCCTTTGTTTGGATATGAGCGATTTCTCAGCACTTGCTTCAGGAAGACTGGTTCCCTTTTTTGAAAACCTGTGTGGATCCTATACGGGTCCTCTGGCTTCTAGTTCCACCTTCTTTAGGTGGTTCAGATAGACCAGCATTCAAGCTAATTTCAATGATCGGGTTCCACCAATTCCCATCAAAGCGCACTAGATGCTTAAGTGCTCCTTTGGATTTTTTTGGCATCAAACAACTGTCTTCCAGATTTTGCAAGGGTTGCTGTCTGGTCTTCTGTTCACACATTCTCTAAGGTCTACCAGGTGGATGTTTTGGCCTCATCTGATGCCAACTTCAGGTGTAGGGTGCTTCTGGTGTCTTATTTTGCTGCAGGCAAGTCTCTAGTTTTTCCCTTGTTTCCTTGGGCTTTTCAGTCTTTGTGTGCTAAATTGCCCACCTCTCAGTTGGACTGCTCTTGGGTGTCTCAAAATTTTAAGGCTTCTTCTCTGTTTAAATGGGCAAGAAAGGAAATAGAACTGTGGAAATCTTGCTCAGACTCCATTGAAGGACCCAGGTCCCATCCCTCAGTGTTTGTGATCAGGCTTCAGGTACTGCTTGGCTACAAAACCAAGGCATGGTGGTAGCAGGGAGGGTTATCTTGGGCTGGCCTCCAGTTTTTTGTTTGTCAGTGGGCAATCCACCTGCAGGTGGCAGTATAACCTGAAGGTTTAATACATCTAGTGTCTCTCAATGGCAGAGGTGTTAAACTCAATTTTATCATGAGCATTTTGGGTGCCTCCAAAGGGCAGGCCGTATCTGTAAGACTAGATGTCCAGATCACCCCCCACCTACCTTACATCACAGTGTATCCCCCTTATGTGATGCTGCCAGGAAGAAGCTGGCGGAAAACCTGGGAAGCATAAAGTGCAGAGCAGAGTCTGGAGGAGGCTGTTAGAGTCTGCTGAATGCTGAAACCAGGGCAGGTGGAGACTAAGGGGTGCTGCGTCTGCACAGAGAGGTGCAGGATCTGTAGGAAGAGTTCTGTCATCCTCTCTGCTGCCAACTGCTGAGGCAAGGTGGGGTTGGAGGAGAAGGGGTTGCAGCAGCTGCAGAAGAGGTGCAAGGGCCACATTAAATGGCCTTGCGGGCTGTATTCAGCCCACAGCCTTGTGTGTGACACACATGCTCAATGGACTCCAAGAAAAGGATTTTGTGTTTTTAAGCTTTTTATGCTTTTGAAAAGATCTAGTGTTGCAGTACATTGTAACTGTAAACTGAATGTACTTTCTGACTAAGCACAGTTGCAGTGTTAGATAATATTTGTAATTTACTTTATCTGGTGTCAGTATCTTGGTTATACATTTTCATTGTGTTTTGTACGAAGCAGGAAAGTTTCTTTTGTATACTTAAACAGCTGCCCCACATTCCAGTTATCCTGGACTCCTGACACTTTTTCAGGTGTAAGACACACAGGATCTGTTCAGATAGCAGAAAAATATCCCTCTGATAGCATTTGTTCCTGACCCAGAGTGAGTCTCTGCCATGAGCTACCAATGCTCTGCTAGTTTCAGAGGACCAAGGCGTATGTTGTTAAAATCCAGCTGAGAACATGGGCAGAAAACAGACATGATAAATATTGTACACTTATAATTAACTGACAGTACAATTTGCAGCACACACCATGGGAGGCCAATGTGCGAAACTTTATATTTAACTTCTGTCTTAGTAGATGAAGATGTGATTTGTGTCTTGCAGGATTCAGCCGACAAATCATAGACATCCTTAACAAGCATAAGATCCAATTTAGCAGTTTTGATATATTGTCTGATGAGGAAGTGCGGCAAGGACTAAAGACCTTCTCCAACTGGCCCACTTATCCCCAGTTGTATGTCAAAGGAGAGCTAATTGGAGGACTGGACATTGTCAAGGTGAGCGGAGACAATGTTTGCAGTGACATTCTATTGCCAGGATACAAATGCAGTGCTTAACCAAGTCTCATTTACAGGAGATGGAGGCATCAGGGGAGCTAGATACTACATGTCCCAAGGCCCAGAATCTGGAAGACAGGTACAGGCTCTCTTTTTATATATTTATTTATCTATATATAATATATAAAGCTATGTGTCAATACAGAAACATATGGGGATTTAGGCAGAATGTGGGCTCAGTTTGATGGGCAGTTGAAGTTTTTAGAATCAAATTGCACACTAGATATTTCATTAAAATACTGTATGTTGTTTGTGTTACCTTCCAGTAATGTTTTAATTCTGTTCAGCTTTCCTTGTGATGCTTCCATCCATGCCAGGCAGTACAGCAGGGTGTCTGACCCCACTTTTTTTTTTTTTTACTGTAGTTAGTGTCAGTCCACCCAAAGCTAACCACCTCCACTAAAGACTTTCTCACAAATTGTTCACATTTCCTGTGCATGTCCCCAGCTGGATCCATTCTCCTCAATGGAAAAGCTGTTACCAGATGACAGGCTGCCATAAGTAGCTCTAAGGGGTGTTGCATATCTGGCTCCTATATCAGTGAGGAAGGGTTTTCTTTTTACATTGATGTCCATTAACTACATGAGCATTTAGTTGGTCTTCTGTTGGGTCAGGGTTGTGATTTATTATTGATTGATGTGGTATTTTTGTACAGTGTACACAGTAGTGCACCATGCCCTGTAAATAAATGATCACATGGGATGATTGGCTTCTGGGCTTTAATTAGTGAAAGCCGCCTATTGTGTACACTGTCAGCATATTCCTAATATCTGCTAACCAGATTAGCTAACATTTTTTAAAGTTTTAAATGGTAAATCCTAGCAAAACTGTTTCAATGCTGACATTCTATGTTTTTCCAGGCTCAAAGCACTTATCAACAAAGCTTCAGTAGTTCTTTTTATGAAAGGCAGCAAGCAGGTAAGTGTGTATTATTTATATAGATAGATATAGAGAGAGATAGATGTAGATATATATATATATATATATATATATATATATATATATATCTACATCGCTCTCTCTCTCTCTCGATATATAGAAAGAGATAGAGAGAGAGAGATATATATATATTAGATTAGAATAGATTATAGATAGATAGATTAGATATATATAATGTGTTTTGTGTTTAAGAATATGAAACTGTATTATGTGACTATTTCTTAATAAACAAGAGAACTTTAACATTCATATTTCCTATGTGCCTCCAGGTGGCCAAATGTGGATTTAGCCGTCAGATCCTTGAAATCCTCAATAACACGGGGTGAGTCAGGGAGCGTCTGTGGTTGGAGAGACGTAATTGATATGCTTTGTTTGCCTGTAGTAAATGCTAATGTGCAGCTGTCGTTATTGACAACATATCATTTTTGCCTGTCGGAGCTATTTTTCTTTATAGCCAGTGATTTATTCTGTTGTGCGGTTTTCATTTGTGTTACAGTTTAATGGATTGAGTTCCGTTGCATTTCTGGCCAGCAGTTTCTGTTATGACTTTATTGTTACATTTCAGTGTTTCCTGTACTGGTTGGGGTGTGTGTGCATGTCTTAAGAGAATTTACTCATTTTTAGGACTTCTTTAAAACTACAGGTGAAACTCGAAAAATTATTATATCGTGCAAAAGTTAATTTATTTCAGTAATGCAACTTAAAAGGTAAAAACTAATATATGAGATAGACTCATTACATGCAAAGCAAGATAGTTCAAGCTGTGATTTGTCATAATTGTGATGATTATGGCTTACAGCTCATGAAAACCCCAAATCCACAATCTCAGAAAATTAGAATATTGTGAAAAGGTGCAATATTCTCGGCTCAAAGTGTCCCACTCTAATCAGCTAATTAAGCCATAACACCTGCAAAGGGTTCCTGAGCCTTTAAATGGTCTCTGTCTGGTTCAGTAGGAATCACAATCATGGGAAAGACTGCTGACATGACAGTTGTGCAGAAAACCATCGAGACCCTCCATAAGGAGGGAAAGCCTCAAAAGGTAATTGCAAAAGAAGTTGGATGTTCCCAAAGTGCTGTATCAAAGCACATTAATAGAAAGGTATGTGGAAGGGAAAAGTGTGGAAGAAAAAAGGTGCACAAGCAGCAGGGATGACCGCAGCCTGGAGAGGATTGTCAGGAAAAGGCCATTCAAAAGTGTTGGGGACTTTCACAAGGAGTGGACTGAGGCTGGAGTCAGTGCATCAAGAGCCACCACACACAGACAGATCCTGGACATGGGCTTCAAATATCGTATTCCTCTTGTCAAGCCGCTCCTGAACAACAAACAACGTCAGAAGTGTCTTACCTGGGCTAAAGAGAAACAGACCTTGTCTGTTGCTCAGTGGTCCAAAGTCCTCTTTTCTGATGGGAGCAACTTTTGCATCTCATTTGGAAACTAAGGACCCAGAGTATGGAGGAAGAATGGAGAGGCACACTGCAAGATGCTTGAAGTCCAGTGTGAAGTTTCCACAGTCTGTGTTGATTTGGGGAGCCATGTCATCTGCTGGTGTTGGTCCACTTTGCTTCATTAAGTCCAGGGTCAACGCAGCAGTCTACCAGGAGAATTTGGAGCACTTCATGCTTCCTTCCACAGACGAGCTTTATGGGGATGCTGACTTCATTTTCCAGCAGGACTTGGCACCTGCCCACACTGCCAAAAGCACCAAAACCTGGTTCAATGACCGTGGCATTACTGTGCTTGATTGGCCAGCAAACTCTCCTGACCTGAAACCCATAGAGAATCTATAGGGCATTGCCAAGAGAAAGATGAGAGACATGAGATCGAACAATGCAGAAGAGCTGAAGGCCGCTATTGAAGCATCCTGGTCTTCCATAACACCTCAGCAGTGCCACAGGCTGATAGCTTCCATGCCACGTTGCATTGTGGCAGTAATTGCTGCAAAAGGGGCCCAAACCAAGTACTGAGTACATATGCATGCTTATACTTTTCAGAGGTCCGATATTGTTCTATGTACAATCCTTGTTTTATTGATTGCATGTAATATTCTAATTTTCTGAGATTGTGGATTTGGGGTTTTCATGAGCTGTAAGCCATAATCATCACAATTATGACAAATCACAGCTTGAACTATCTTGCTTTGCATGTAATGAGTCTATCTCATATATTAGTTTCACCTTTTAAGTTGCATTAAGGAAATAAATGAACTTTTGCACAATATTCTAATTTTTTGAGTTTCACCTGTAAGCAGCCCAAAGATTCCTGCAGGCACATAATTGTCACCCTCCATGGCCAGTGAGTTAGAGAAATGTGCCGGTCTGTTTCTGTACCTGAGCCCACGTTCAGCTTGCTTGTAACCTCAATCCAGGCCAATTTCTTACCACCAACCTTATCCTCTTTTGCAGCTCTCATGGTATAATAGAGATGTTAACGTGTAGGTTCACCTTCAGCAATATTTTCCAAAAAGCCCTGTATGCAATTCATATCTTCTGAATAGTACCTACTAGCTGCTCCTTTTTTAAATGCTACACCTCCTCCCATTGTACATGCAACTGTGGGGTGGGGTATCTTGGCAAGAACTGCTGGCACTTTGTTCCCATGCTGTTTGCAGGATGCTACAATTGTGGGGCCTCTAGCGGGCCACTCTGAGCTGTTAACAATGTGCACATGTGGAGTGTGCTGTCTTCTTCATTCGCTACAGTGGTCAAGCTCAGCTAGAGAAGGAGAGTGTGAATGCGTTCATTTTGGAGCGGTTACGGTACACAATTACAGCATCAAGCCCATCCTGCAAACAAAAAGATGGAGGGGGATTGAAAGACCAGATATTTTGATATTTTTCTTTAACTTTTTATCTGGTACTTGATATTTTACATTTTTGTTCCCTTCTTGAAAATAACCATTACTATCATTTAGGAGGGCAAAGTGGCGAAAGTCTTCCTATTGAGAATTCAGAGGACTGCTATATTGTGTTCAAAAGCCTGCTGTAACAAGCCTTTGTTTATAAATGGGGCTGGCAAACAAGTGATTAAGGAACTGCTCCCCCGCCCCCCCCCCCCCAAAAAAAAGTGTAAGCTTAAAGAGAAGCTCCATTTAAAACTTAATAAATGTTTACATAAAAAGTGAATATACACAACATGCACATAAATAATATATGGCAAAACTAAAGTGATCTGATCCAATCAGGATCTAGTAGTGAAATACCAGGAATGTTCCTGTATGAACCCCTGTTAAGTGAAACACAAATGAACAAATCCTCAAACCCCCATATCCCCAAATGAGGGATCAAAGAGAACATAAAAATGGGGTGAAAACATTGGTGAATCCCCAACCTGGGGGAATTAAACCTAATAAAGCGATAAGTGCTAAAACAGAACAAATTTCAATATACACATAGCCACACTATAAACATCCTCATTATAAAAGTGAAAAATATATCTCAGATGAAAAAACTCAATAAGTCCACATTAAACATCCAATATAATGTAAACGTATAAACATGATCAATGTGTTTTGCAGGTTCATTACCATGTATACATGTATTTATTAACATGTATTTTCTGCATAGAGAGTCATTTACATGATTTAGGACTCTACATACATATTTATTTTGGCTGCAAGTTTTTCAGATACTTATTAACACTATTTGTGTACGGTGTTTTTAGTGTTTATAATTTCCTCCATTAACATGTTCCCTTTTCTCTTTTTTTCCCCTCCAGTGCAGAGTATGACACTTTTGACATTCTGGATGATGAAGAGGTGAGCTGGAAGAGGTTGGGGAGCATTTCTAGCAGTTTTACATAAGTTGGAGGCTTCTTCATGGCAGCTGTACTAGGATATATGTATAGTTTTCAGTAGCTGTGGCTTGGTCCAGGGAGCCCAGGTCTAATTTAAAGCAACTTTCTATCATTTAGGAATCATACTGAACCTACAAGTGTAATATTCTTCCACAAGTTAGAAGGGAAGCAGATTAGGCTGTGGGTATGTTGTATGGCTTGTGGAAGAAAACTAGTACACCCCATATGAAGCTTGTCAACTGATGGTGTCCTTGATGAGAATCGAAGTCAAGTGAGATAAGACCACAGTGTTAACCTTTAAAGACACAGTCACCTGATCATTCAGGGTGGAGTAAACTGCTCCTCCTGAAAGCCCACCTCCCGCATGCACACCGCCTGCCTGTTGAGATTCTAGCATAGGTAAAGCTAGCCATTGGTGGATTGAAATTCTGTCAGCTCAGCAGTGACCAGACAGATTTTGATTTATGTATGGCCATTCCTGCTTAACAGAAGTCGATCTAATAATTGACTTCTGTCAAATGAGACTGTTTGAAAATTTTAATTGGCTGCAGTTGCTAAATGAATCATTTGCAGCACTGATCAGTGTGTTCTGACAGTGGAGGAGTCCCTGATATCCTAAACAATAGCACAGCATGGAGGATTCTCCATCCAACTTGCATGCGTGGATAGGGGGATCAGTTTGGTTTCTTGCCATCAGCCCTCTAGCTGATCGAAATCTATGGCCAGCTTAAAGAGGTTCTTCAGTCACTTGTGTAAAAAAAAAAGAAAAGTCAGCAGCTACAAAAATTGTAGCTGCTGACTGTTATTAAATAGATACTAACCTATCCAGGAATCCAGCGCTGTCCACACCCGAGCCAGTTTCTTCACTGGTCTTCTGTTCCCAGCGCTGGCATTTTAACTGTGGGCAGCTGGCTGTGGCTGCTCGTGGCGTCACAGCCGGATGCCCACTGTGCATGTGAGAGCCATGCTGTGCTTTGCGAATGGTCCTGCAAGCTCCTAGGACCTATGATGTGTCCCAGAAAGCTGTACACCTCCCCCCCCCCCCCCCCCCCCCCCAAAAAAAAAAAAAAAAAAATATGGTGTGCCAAAGGAGGGGGAGGAGGAGCAACATCAGAACTTCAACTTTTAAGTGAAGTTTCCTTTAAGCATCAGTATCCAAGTGGGAGAATAATGTCTCTGCTCCCACATGTGAAAGTGGTTGTGCCTGACGATTGGCCGCCTTGAGCACTGTCACATTGTCACATGGGGTAAAGTTTCATGCTTCCCTTTACTGGGAAGGCAGAAAAGGATCACATATAGGTAAATATACCTTGCTGGGCTATCGGAAGTCACTGTCACTTTGCTTTAACCTCCTTAGCGGTGTTCCCGAGTGTAGCTCGGGGTAAAATTTCTATACCAAAAGCGGTAACCCCGAGCTACATTCGGGCTTACCATGTGGTGTTGCTCAGGTAGTCCCTGCAGCACTTACCTTGTCCTTCGCTCCCACGATCTGTCCCCTCCAGCGTCCCCGGCCATCTCCTCCAGCCGATGCCGGCATCCGGCTTCTGTGTTCCGGTCCCTGTGACGTCGGGACGTACGGGCGCCGGAACCGGCGGGAAATTTGAATTTTTTAAAAAATGTCATTTTTTCTGTCATTGCTATTTCAATGCATTCCACATACATTTTGTCCCGAGTGCTTTGTCCTGTGCCCTGCCTGCACTTTTACTGTTCTTTCTGCCTGGAAACTTAAAGTCCATGGCATCCAAAAAGCGTCCCTTTACGTCAAAAGCGATTTTAGAACAGCGATAGTAAATCAGAACCACTTGCAGAATTGAGTGATAATGATTCGTGGGGAAATTCGTCATCAGACACTGAAAACGATTTTGCGACTTTGCTCATTGATGTGCGAATTTGCTCTGTATTTCAAATTTCAGTGTTTTTGGTTTGATTATATTATTGAATTAAATGTATTATTTTTTATGATTATTTATTAAATTATAATTTATGATTTTGTGTTTCAAATGTTATCCATACCCGGGATGTTTAATAGACTCTTGTTCGGACAGATTTCAGTGAGTTATTCCTAAAAATTACAGCCTACAATAAAAAACTGCATATTTCCATGCAAAAAAATGGTACCGCTTTCAGCACAAAAAATCGGAAAGAATCATACCGCCGAGGAGGTTAAATGAAAAAAGTGAGGGTGTCGCTATAACATTTTATCCAAACCGGTTGGGCTATTTGTCTTGATGAAAGCAGACTTTTTCTAATTCATGGTATTGGTAACCTGCCTAAATCTTCATTAGTGTTTAGTAAAAGGCAAGTCTGTCCAATGCTTTTAATTCAACTAATTTTATTAATAAGGAAATATACTCACAAAATGATTGTATAACAGGCATAAGTAACCATAATCCAAACAGGGTTACAGGTAAATCAAAAAGGGGGGGGGAATAAAGGCTAACGCGTTTCGAAGGGTGCTCCCTTCTTCATCAGAGCTGGGTTTGGCAGATAGAAACTTCAGTATGGCAGAGTTCCCATGGCAAGGAGATATTCAGCCACTGAGTGTCAGTATTACAGCAGTTCACTAAACAGGCTGAACTGCTGTAATACTTACTGACACTCAGTGGCTGAATATCTCCTTGCCATGGGAACTCTGCCATACTGAAGTTTCTATCTGCCAAACCCAGCTCTGATGAAGGGAGCACCCTTTGAAACGCGTTAGCCTTCATCCCCCCCCCCCCCCCTTTTTGATTTACCTGTAACCCTGTTTGGATTATGGTTACTTATGCCTGTTATACAATCATTTTGTGAGTATATTTCCTTATTAATAAAATTAGTCACTATGTATTGAGGTAATGCGCAAGGTTTGTGCGCTCTTTCTTTCATCTTCCTCTACAGTTTTATTAAGCTTCCCCAGCTTCATCATAGAGCTGCACAACCTCTGATCACCAGTGGATGAATACACAACACGCTGCTTGTCACTAACGCCTGTTTGATCTGAGTCCTTGAGCGCAGGAGATAATGGATCAATGCTTTTCATTCTCCAATGAGAAGACAGTGGAGAGCTGAATTGCTACCCTGATTTTTATTTTTTATAATCAAGGACCTCAGAGCTAGAATCTCCTCTAGAAGTGCCCAGGTTTGCTGTAGTAGATGAGTCTCGCTCTTGTCTTTGGGAACTCAAGTAAATGTATCCAGAAGTGAGTTGGACCCCCACAATGACAACTGATAGAGATAGGACTGGAGAACAGAGAAACCAATACCAGGGCATCCAGGAGGTTATAAGAAGTTGGGGGATAACACAACTCACTTAATCTCTAATTCTAATCTCTAATCTCTCAATCTCTAATTGTAAATGGTGCCTTTTACTGTGTTTTTATAGTCCTTTTTTTTTTTTTTTTTTTTTATAAATCAATCATTTCTAAAGGTTCGACAAGGATTGAAAACATACTCCAACTGGCCAACATACCCACAACTCTATGTAAAGGGAGAACTTGTTGGAGGATTGGACATTGTAAAGGTAAGCTTTTATTTTGCTGGATTGGGTTTGCACACAAGATTCCCAACACCCCCCCTCTCCCCCACCCCCTTTCTTTGCTTCAACACAGGCTCAAAAGTAAAGCTTATATGTATATATAGTATTTGATGTCTTATTTAGGTTTTAGATTTAGCCACATACCACCTAATGCCAGACAGGTTTGGCAAGGACCAGTTCTGCCCATTAGAAACTTTAATCAAGTTTTCTTGCATGGCAAGACCACTTACTGTTATCTCACATATATATTCTTATTATTATAGCCAAATTTACCACCCTAACTCCTCCCACAGTTTTTACACTACACAGACAGTAATATACCGAAAACGTGCGGATTGTTCCCGATTGGTGTGCTATTACTTTGTGGAACGTTTCGCCGAATGGTCCATAGGAATGGTGAATTGGTCCCATAGGAATGAATGTGGAATGTTCAAAACTAGAGTGGGAGCTGACAAAAGCTAGAGTGTGAGCTGAAAAATCAGGACATGATTTGTAAACTGCTATCACTCCCTCATTTTCAAGCCCACCTACACAAATCTTATATCGAAACGTTCAGCTATCCCTGCTGCCACTAAAAATGTCCACGGCTAAGCCATAGTCCTGATAGTTTTCACAATATGACCATTTGTTTGCAACTCATGCCGCCCATTGACATTCGTTGAAACTCCACTGTAGCCATCTCAAATTTAAAGGGCAATTTCTAAACTGCGACTGTGCCTTCATTTGTAATATTTCAGAGACATACTATGCATCAAAATGTAGGTCTGGGTCTTGTGATTCTCACATTATAAAGCTCTTCAGTATAGGATTTATAATTTTTAAACTACAACCGTTTGAAGATGGCAACCGCCAGTGAAGTGAGCAAGTTGGAGCAGTTTGTTTTTAACCGCTCTTCTCTGCCCTTGCTGTAGAGTGAGTTACCATAGGAACCCAGGTGTGTGAGCAGGCAGCAGAGTGACAAGCCACTCCACCCAGTTACTCCGCCCACTCCAGTTGTAGACTACTGGTGGAGGCAAGAACACTTCACACAATTCCCCCAGAAATTGTAGCTTTTCTAGTTTATATTGTCTTTCTAGAGACTGCACAGTAAGTTATCTTGGACTTTATTTTTGCAGAGTAAGAGAGCCCCTATTTAATGGGCTTGGGGGTACAGGTAATTGGCATGTGCAGCTCAGTGTACATTTGATAGAAGACTGTGAGCAGGCAGGCAAGTGTGTCTTTTTGCAGAAGAGACATGCATGTCTGTTCTGCAATGAAGAGCCGCCTGCTCTGTTCTGCAATGAAGAGCCGCCTGCTCTGTTCTGCAATGAAGAGCCGCCTGCTCTGTTCTGCAATGAAGAGCCGCCTGCTCTGTTCTGCAATGAAGAGCCGCCTTTTTTGCATATGAAGAGCCGCCTGCTCTGTTCTGCAATGAAGAGCCGCCTGCTCGCAATCTTTTTTTGTATATTTTAGGTTTAGTTGCTTTAAGGCAGCCAAGTCATGGTCTATCGTATTAGGCTTTGTTGCAAAAGATAGACATGGTCTATCTTTTGTGAGGCAGAAGGGGTTTGGATCAAACTCAGAAATCAAGATTTTGCATTTAAATTGATTCTAAAGTTAAAGTGGGAGCAAAGCTACTTTTATAATAAAGCTTATCTGTTTGTAAAATTAATCTCTGCTAAATGTGCACCGTTTTTTTAGGGTATATTTTTTTTTTTTTTTTTTTTTTTTTTTTTTAGAGCCGGCACATGCGCTCTGAAGGAACGGCATGCCTGTGCTGTTCCTTCAGAGCACCGTGCTGTGTCCTGAGACTCCTGTGCGCATGCGCGGGAGTGACATAATCACGGCTCAGCCAGTCAGATGGCTGGAGCTCTTGAACCCGGAAAGGAAGATGGAAGCCTGTACAGCGGTGATGGCACGCCGCTGGAGGACTTCGTTTTGAAGTAAGTTTTACATAATGCGATGCATACTAGCACATGATGCCTTCACCTTTTGTAGGGGATTTTTTGGGGGTTTTTGGGGAAGCAGTATACTAAATGGCTTTAGAACCATTTTAACTTTAGCATATCATCTCAGCTAGTGCATACCTGTTACAGTTGGGGGCAGGGCAGTGCAGAGAGCAGGAGGATTTTCTGAATTTTGATTGGGACTCGTCAAATTGAGATCATTGCTCAGCACTTTTAACCTTGTAGTTTATTTCTGGTCAGCCTTATTGATGGCCATTGGGACTACCCATCAAATTCAGTGGCTAGTGGTAAGCAGGAGAGGCAGGACTAAACATTAGTTTTTGGAAATGAAGCTGACATTTCCAGAAGTATTCTGGCTTGTGGGGCTCCTTTGTGCTGAAACATATGTAAAGGTACCTGTGGCTGTATTTAAAGCTGAACTATATACAGATAAAAAGGCACAAATGAATGCAGCTCTGTAATCATTAATACACCAATAAATGTATTTTTTAAATGGAAGCTGTGCAAGTATCTGAATTTGGTCTGGTCTGTTATCCTCTTGAAGTGCCTGGGCTTGGGTGTGAGAGGAAGAAGCTGCATAAGAAGCCAATCAGTTCATGTTTTGACTGAGAGCTTGCTGAGTTACAGAGATATGAGCTCTGTGCTGCTTGTTCTTTCACTGTCCAGTCACAGCTTGGGCTCAGAAAAAGTGGATTTAATTATGTTGGCCATAAAATTTTATTTTTTTTATTTTATCATTGAAGGGGCTATTCATTTATTTCAGACATAAATATAGTTATGATATTTTATGTAGTGCTTTACATATTGTACATTCATATCAATCAGTCCCTGCCCTCAAGAACCTTACAATATAAGGTCCCTATCTCACTTGCATGTGAGCACATACTAGGGCCAATTAATCACTTGAGCTCCAGAAGGTTTTACCCCCTTCATGACCAGGCCATTTTTTTACTATCTAGCACTGTGCTACTTTAACTAGTAATTGCATGGTCATGCAACACTGTACCCAAACAAAATGTATATATATTTTTTTATATACACAAATGGAGCTTTCTTTTGGCAGTATTTGATCACCGTTTTGGTTTTTTGCTTTTGTTTTTTTTTTTTTTTTTTTTTACTTTATAAATAAAAAAAAAAAAGACCTAAAATTTTGAAGAGAAAACTAAAATTTTTATTTTTGCTATGAAACATATCCAGTAAAAGTTTTTAAAACAAAAATCACAATTCTTCATAAATTTAGTCTAAAATGTATTCTGCTACATGTCTTTTGTTGTTTTGTATATTGATTGGTTTGTGTGAAAATTATAGTGTCTACAAACTATGGTGTAAATATACTGAAATTTTTATTTATTTTTTATACTATAAATAACGGTGATCAGAGACATTAAGTGTGGTAGTGCGGCGGGCAATTTGATACATAACTGACGCTGGCTGGGAGGTACACTAACTGAACAAATGACACCTCAGGGTAATCAAGGGGTTATGTGTGTGTATCAAGTTACGTTACATGCTAATGTGTGTAATATATGCTGCTTTTTACAAAAAATGTCTTTGTTCCTTCTCCCTGCTTTGCAGAAAGAAGAAACAAAGCAATAATTCTCTTTGTACAGAGCCTGTGTTGACAATGTGATTGGACACAGCTGATCAGCAGGTCCTGGCCATGAATCATTGGCTGGGACCTGTTGACAAAATTCTTCTGTGTCCAATCGCAGCAGTAGTCGGCGGGCGGGGGCACACGCCCTGTGCTCCAAAGAGGCCACTGACGTGCAGGCATGCCGATGTGCCTGTACGAGCTGCCCATCCGCAGTACATTGCGGGTGGATGGTTTTTTATGTGGCTAACCAACCAGCTTGTCTTTGGAATGTGGGAGGAAACAGGAGTACCCTGAAGAAAGCCATGCATGCACAGGGAGAACATGCAAACACATGCAGTGCTTAACTTGACTTAGAACCAAGTGCTGCAAAGAAGTGCTAACCACTGAGCCACTGTACTGCCTTTTTATCATGTAAATTTTGGATAGTAGACTAGTTCTGCACATACAGAACCATACTAAACCAACTAAATTTGCTTTGGTTTCCAACAATGTCTAAATACTTGGTGTTCCTCTCCCCCACACACAGGAGTTGAAGGAAAGTGGAGAACTGGATTCGGTGTTGAAAGGTGGACAATAATGTATGAAGGTGCCATAGATGGGACAAACTCCAAGCACGGGATCTTTCTGAACTGCTGTGGCTCTCTGGCCTTATTTACGGACCTCAGTGAACTCTTCTCTCTTCCTCTCTTCTATGATAGGTCACGGCCTGTACAGGATACAATGTGTAATTGGCAATAGAGACGACATTTATGTGAAAGTTATTAAACTTCAGAAACCTTTTAATTTAATAAAACAGTGTTACAATCGATTCTTGTTACTGTACATCATGTCAAAGTGACACACATCCGTCATGGCCAAATGCTACATTTACGCCTCCCCATGAGGATTAGTTGTCCTCCATGTCCATATAAAATTAGTTTTTTGTTTGAAAGGTTAATTCCACCCAGAATTGAAGTTTAAAGTGTTCCCTTTTAATTTTTTCTGAAAAAGTAAACGCACAGCACCTGTACCTCTGCTCCCCCGACAGGCAGCGTTCCCCCACAATCCACCAGGGACCTGTCTATCGGCATCCTCACACCTAGAGTAGGGCTATGGACCTGATCCTGGGGAGTTCAGGGCTCTAGACTGGCTGAGCATGGTTATTCCGAAGGTGCGGAGAGGAGCAGAAGATCAGGTAAGTATATTCCCTTTAATTGTTACCCTAGTCATATATAAAGCAATCTACCCTTGCAGCGCAGGCACATCCCCATAGCAAAGGATCATTTTTTCATTTGCCTGGAGTTGGGTTTTAAGGACAAGGTTCCACCCAATCCTGTTAAGGCACACTTTAGTAAATCAGAGTGCTTTTTTTTTGGCACCAGGCAACTGTTTTCCCAGATTTGGAAAACTGCCGCCTAGTTTTCTGTTCATGCATTCTCTAAGTTTTACAAGGTGGATGTTGAAGCCTCTTCTGATGCCATCTTCAGGCAATAGGTCTTTCAGACAGCACTTTGAGCTGCAGGCGGTCTATTGTTCCTTTGTTATATTGGTCTCTCTTGTTACTGTTGCCCACTGCTCTCTGTTGGGCAACTTTTGGGTGCCCTGGTTGTCTCTGAATAACTGAATTGTGTATCCATGAATAAATGACAACAGGATTCTTGTACCTGCTAGTTATTAAGGGACACAGGTACCACCCCTCTGTGTTTTCTGATCTACTTCTAATAACTGCCTGCTGGGAGTGGGGGGGGGGGGGGGAGGGAATTATACCTGGCTGTCCAGTGGCTTTTTTGTTTGCCAATGTTCAATTCCTCCTGTAAAGGGCAGTATAACCTAATTGTCTATGAATATCTGAATCCCGTGGCTTTTAATGGACTGCAAGAAACTGATTTCACAGTAAGTGCAAAAATCATTTTAAAGATGTTCTGCCACAACATAGGCCTGTCACCTATTCTCAATCTGCCCCCCCCCCCTCCCCCCAGTGGCTGTTTGTTTTTCTTAACCCGAGGTTCACATATGTGCGGTCGTGTGGGCCATGATTTGCACAGGCATGAGAGCCCATTCATGTGAATGGACTCCCGTGCCACGGGACACACAGGGAAGAAATCTCTGCACTGATTGAGAAATCGCAGCCCACAGGGGAAGCTCGTTTCCCAGTATAGTTGCAATTTCCAGTGCAGGTGGTGTGCCATTAGAATTAATGGCACTTGCCTGCGGGTCCTGCATTCCTGTGTGGGTGGTGCGGCTGCAGGCCGCAGCGGCACCACCCGCACAGATGTGAACCAGTGGTTCAAGACATTGGATACAGGCAGGCGCTAAGTAATAATACGGAGTGGTTTTAAAGTGAACCTATTCTTGTTCATTCAGGTCAAAGCAGCAGGTTCGCGAAAAGGTCCTGGATCCTCAGTACTGCGCTGAACCTGTTATAGCCTAGTCAGTCCCAAAGTCCATAGACTCTGATATATTCATCCAGTGGATAGAAGCAAAGGATCCTGCAGCTCATGTAGATCAGGTGGGATCCCCATCCTCACAGAATATATTCATTAAACCTGAGGTTTATTTTTTTGGGGGGTACAGCACCAAACATATTATTTGTGTAATAATTTGTATCCCATTACCGGCAGGTGGCTGCTTCTGATAAACATCTTCCCTTCTGTGCTTCCTTCACAACTGCCAGATACTGTCTTGAGAAGCAACTGCCGCTGAGGAAAGTTGCACCACTTGCCTGTCCCTTTCCACTATTCATATTGCTGTTATTATTACTTTCCCAAATAAATAAAATATAGTGCAGTGCTAAAATGTCAATAATAAGTGAAAAATACAAATAATCTCAAAGTGACAGTCCGTGCGCACTCACCAGATACGCAATGTTAATGCGCATTAACAGTAGTAATGGTCCCCTCTAGGTAATGGATGTGGTCCTGGACAGAGAAAATCCTCCCTCTGTGTGTAGGTGGTGCTGTAGGAGCTCTCTGAAGGAGATGGAACCAGGCAGTCGGGGGCCCCTTTAAGGGGTGGATGGATATGGGAGCCTATATACCAGGGTCTCCTCTCTGGACAACTATGTAGCACAGGATCTGAGTGGCTCTGGAAATTAGTAGCTCCACATAGGAAGCCAAATACTTATTTCCCTCATGAACATGAAAATCAGTGCATAATTTGTTAAACATGCATTTCTTTTGAATTTTTTGTTGCTATTCTGTCTCTGTGTTACAATACACCTACCATTGAATTTTTAGACTTTTTGAGTAGGAAAACGTTCAAAATCAGCAGGGGATCAAACACTTATTTCCTTCACTGTATGTATCATCTGTGACTTTAGTTGCCTTTCCAGCTGTCCATACCTTTCTTTTGCTCATTTTTACTGATGGTAGTGGAGAGGACAGTATGACTTGTAGCTGACACGGGGCTGAAGATTCTCCCACTGTCCTCACGTGCCAGTCTTGGGTGACTGAAAGTCCAAACACCAGTGCTGTTGCATTTGAGGAAAGGGACTGATCACATGCTGCATGCCCACATACCATCTTTTTCTCTTGTGGCCAGTTCCTCTTGGTGGCTAAGCAAAGAGAAGGTAAGTACTGTATGAGCAACTTGGGAAATTGATAGTTAAGTGAACCCATTGCTTTGCACTGCATGAGCACAGCTCTCATTCACGTAAATCCTGTACCAGACATTACTAAATGGCGGACTGTGGTCTGGATCTGGACTGAGTCTCTGTCCCAACTGGACCGGTCGCGGTCCTGCCATTTAAGAGTTTGCTCTTCCACTCCAGATGACATTGGAGACAGGACAGCTCTGGAAGGACAGTGGGAGCTGACAAGTTAACTTTTAAAGTTAACCAGCAGGTGATTGGTTGCTAGCAACCAATCACCTCACCAGCTGGTTATCAGGAAATGTTCAGCTTTCGCTGTCAATCTGGGACTGTCCTGTCCATGATGTCAGCTCCTCCCGTCATCCACCCTGTGTAGGTAGGAGATGGAAGAGAGCTACTGTATGTCACTGCTGTGAAGGATATGGGGGGAAGTCGAGGATGATGTGATGTGAAGGGGAGGCTGAGGACAGGAATCTGAAGGAGGAGGATGGAGATATAAAGGGGGGGGGGGGGGGCTGAGGATAGGAGTCTGGAGGAGGAGGGCGGTGATATAAAGGGGGGCTGAGGACAGGAATCTGGAGGAGGAGGGTGGTGATATAAAGGGGGGCTGAGGACAAGAATCTGGAGGAGGAGGGCGGTGATATAAAGGGGTCCCTTTCACATGGTGGGTCTGATCAGGCACACCTGTCAGTTTTTCAGGAAGACCTGATCAGATGGTCCATTCACCCCTATGGACAGGCGGGAATAAACAGACTTGTGTCTGTTTACAACTGCCTACCTCTGGGTCCTATCCAGTTTGCTCAAAAAAGAAACCAAAAGGGGTTCCAATCTCTTCTGTTTAGGTGGATCGGTGGGTAGTCAGGTACAGTGGAGTCCATTTACTCTCAGCCTGGGTTCACACTGATGGGGTGCGGCATATCGCACAGGAACCGCATCACATTTCTCTGCAAATCACATGTGAATTCTGTGTGGTGTGGTTTTAGCCATACATTTTGTATGACTCAATTCACACCGCATCTGCACCAAAAAGATACAGGACCCTTTTTTTGGTCTGCACTAGAATCTGATCACATCTATACAATCCGATTCTGCAAATTGCACCGTGTTTTGCGGACCGATTTCAGGGTGTTAACATACCTGCAGCGGTTCACATGAACGGGGTGCGATTGTGATGAGGTGCAGAATTTGCACAGAAACCGGTGTAAATCCCCCACTGCATCAGTGTGAACCCAGGCTCAGTCCCACATCGAGCAGAGCGGGCTCTCTCCGTGTCTGTTCTGCAGAATCTGAGTGGACATGGACGTGTCATCCGCCTGCTCTGCTCTGATCAGCAGGGGATCTGTCAGGGATCCCCTGCTGTTCAGGACAGAGTCCACCCCCTGTGAATGGGGCCTTAAGGGCTTGCTCACACCATGTCTGTTCAGCTGCATTCTTTTGTAGTTGTAAACAATTGTTTTCTATGTGCCGAGAAATGCAGCTTAACAGAAAGGCCCCTTGCCCACAGGACCATCCAGCTGAAGTGTTTCCCTCCCTGTGCAGTTACAGACGAGGGTCCGTATTGTAGGTTTTTACAGGACCTCTCCCTCCCGGGCATACTAGAGCCAGACCCTGTGTGCAAGGAACCGAATGGTGTGAGCAAGCCCTGAAATGAATATGCTGAAAAAATTAAGTGACCTGTAGAAAGTCATTAATTTGACTCTGTCTGCAGTTTTTGTATTTTGGTTTTGTGTTGCCCTAGGCAAGACTAAAATCTGAATTTGTCTCACCCCTTCCTGTTTAACTCCTTGGCACCGGCGCCTCCTGGCCCTTTAAGGGTTTCAGAAGTTGGGAGGCGGGGTGGGGTTTTAGGGTCATGTGACTGCTATGGTTTGCCATCACAGCAGTCACATGATCGGGAAAGGTCCCGATTGAAAGAGGAGATTGGGACCTTTCCGTGAGTATCGGACATGTGTGTTGGGAGAGCGCAGGGTGCGTGCTGTCAGCACATATGTTTTTCTTAATTGCACGCA